AGAATGCAATGTCTCAGTTGCACAGGTAATTCCTGTCAACATCAATGAAGCTAACTGATACAGGATACAGTTAGCAGCCAGTGTCTAATCTTGACTAAACATCATGCAATTCAAAAGTAACTGTGTGACCAGATCATAAATATTACTTGTTTTTTTAATCGCATAGGACTGATATATTTTTATTTTTTATTCATTTTAATGAGAAAAAAGATAAAATAGCAATGAAACAGTTTCAGAACAGGTTAGTAGGGCAATTACAATAATACAACTGCACATTGTTGTCTTCACAGTGTTATTCAGAGAACAAGACACAGAGATGGTATCTTGTCTAAATAATATTAGTACAAATCTTTCTTCTGAATGAACTAAGAGAAAGTAGCTGTATATCCTATCTTGTGCATACATATTTTTTTCTTTCTTGTTTTTCATAACAAAACGGTCCTTTATTTATACTTTTGCAAAGTTAATAATATGTGACACAAGGTTGCCTAGCGACTAATAGCTGACCTTAACCATACAAGATTGTTTATCTCAGGACTCAGGTAGCTTGTTATATGTATTTTCACTTAAAATGTCTAATGGCACCTTTTTTTTTTTTTTTTTTTTTTTTTGGCCAGTTCAGCCCACCCAGAGGGAAGGGCTGGCACAGCACATGGGGCTGGGGATTGAACTGCGGACCCCTGCGCCTGCCTAAGCTTGCCTAAGCAGGCACTTTAGACTGCTGAGCTAACTCTCCCGCCCTATTGGCATATTTTAAATATAAACAGTAATGAATATAAATGAACAACCCTGGGAGAAAAAAAAAAAAAAGTCCTGTAAGTCCCCTTGAGTATACTACCTCCAAATCTGTCTACCCTGTCCGCCTGCCTAGCTAGCTACCTACCTGAGTGCTCAGCAGTTACATGTAACAGTGGCCGCTGCACAGGACAGTACACACAGTCCTACCACAACACAGCTATAAAGTGGCCCACCACTCTTCCATCCTGGAACTTCCCCCTGCTGTGGCTGACTTCTTTTTAGAATTTGGGGCTCAGCACAGTTCACATCTCTGCATTATTTCTTTCCCAAACAGAGGTCAGTCTTATATTACCTCATTCCAATAGGTCAAATGTGCTTTATACTGGTCCTCAATGCTAGAAATGCTGTTCTAAAATACACTTAAAATACTCTGTGACCTGCCTACAGCACACCTTGGACAGCTCTCTACCACAGTTGTAACCTAAGTGAGTAGCACAGCAGGGGATTTATTCCTTCCTTTGCTGGTTTCAGTTTCATAATACACAAAAGTTTTGATCATTATCAACAAAGCTCTAAAAAGTTACCTGTAGTACAAAAACCAAACATTGCCAAAGGACAAAGAAAGAAAAGCTGCTTTAGAATGTCTCCCTATTAGGCCTATTATGTTTTGGCTTTATCCATTCATAAAGTATCCTTACCATTTTTTCTTCATTCCTTTAAGAGGCATTTATATATCTAACTAGACATATAATCTAGTTTTGTCAAAAGATTTTTTATTTATTTATTTATTTTTTTGCTACTACTACTACCATAAGATTGATCTTTTTGTGGAGGATTATTACACTTTTTTAAAAAATTATTTATGTATTTATTTTTGTGTGTGGCCAGCTCAGCCCACCAGGGGGGCAGGGCTGGCTGGCATGTGGTGCTGGAGGATTGAACTGCGGTCCCTGTGCTTTGCTTGGCTTAGCTTGTTCTAAGTACGTGCTTTAGACCACTGAGCCATCTCACCATCCCGATTATTACACTTCTACTGAAACTATCATTTCAACCAAAAATACCCTACAGTAATTTCAAATCCTACAAGTATGTTTCTGTGGTTGCAGTCTATCACAATAGGCTGCAAGGCCTTCACCATACGGAGCAAACCTGGACACCTCCTTTCTCTCTCAGGGGCATGTGGTCTTATCACGATCTCATTCATCACCTCTTCAGTCTCCACCCTCACTCTTCAGGATTATCACACTGTTCCGCCTGTTCCTTCTGGTCATTTCACCTCATGCAGACACTCAAGTGGGGCAAGATGCCACCCACCACTTAGAAAGTCAAAGACAGTAGCACATGAGTCATGCAAGCACTCACACAAGTCACTTCTTAGTCCTAGAACCTTGAAGTGTAGGAAGAGTAAGAGTGACACCACATAGGCATACTGGATGTTCTGCAGGCTTCTGGAAGGCTGTGACTATGTAACACTCCCAGATTAGGGGAGTGTTCAGCACAGAGTAGACAACATTAAATCTGTCAAGGGAGTAAGAAGGTCTTTTTTTCTTCTTCTGTACTGTTGCTTTTATTTTTTCCTTATTTCCTGCAGGTGTCCAATTCAGAGATATTATCTAAACACATTCCCACTGCCACGGTCCTGCTGCTGGTGGGGCCAGCCAAGCACCGCTCTCCTGCAGTTTCTGACTGAGGAGCTGGATAACTTTTCCCTTATTTCTTTCTACTTGCTAGGTGGCTCCAAGCAAGACAGTAACTCAATCTCCTTCACTATTCTTTCCCCCTTTCACTACCATCAAGTATTTTCCTCCATGTCTAGCAAATGTTCAGAAGAGATTCCTATCCATCCTTCACAAATCTCGAGTAGATTCTAAGATCAAATGACGGGGCCAATCTCAAGAAAGATATTTAGAATTTTAAGATATTATATAAAAGATCAAGAGTGAAACTCATAACCTTCAACCTTCTCAGAGGCTTACCCAGATCCAAAGAATTTTACTTACACTAAGTCTGAAGATTTTTAAATGTTATTTTCACTACTCCCAAAATTAATGCCTAACAAATTAAATGCTGCCAAACAATCACATTGTATGTCACCTCCATCCTTAACTTTTATTTATATATGCTACATTCCTGCTAAAAAAGAACATTTAGAGTACAACGTAATTTCTGAGGAGAAAAGAAAATCATTGTAATTATAATAAATGGTCTCCAATGCAAGTATTTCAAATTAAGTCTAAGGAATAGAAAAAACAGAGGATATGCTTACTATTTAATATGATATTTTAAAGTTATTAAGTAGCATAAGTATTTATTTTCTTATATCTAAGTAAAACTTCTATAGTAATTTTTAGGTTAAATTTTTGATGCTACACTAAGTGAATTTTAACACTAACTTGCACTATTTTCCTGAATACACAATATGTTCTGACATAATCACATACAGCTGCCTTACCGTCCCTTTTCACATCTCTGCTTTGCTTGCACTGTGTCTTTTATAAAGGATACTTCTCCCACTCTAATCCACAAAACCTCTCCAACTCCCAAGCTCTTGAGTATGCTTCAAAACAAGAAACCTAGAACTTGCACAAGTCCTAAATTATAGTAGTAGCTCAAACACACTTACTATAGAAATTTTAACCAGCCATGAATATCCCCAGATTCAGGTATTTTATCTAAAAAACAAAGGAATGTAACCATATGATTCTTTTAATAAGAGATAACAGGAAAAGCTCAAGTCTGGATTTGTTAGGAATGGTAACCTGGAAAAACTGACCCTGTATCACCCAAGAGCAAGGTAAAGTTAACTTAAATGCAGAACATACTGGGATTGTTCTGCACCATCTGCTTTTATCTAGTGACTAGGCAGGCTGAGGAAGCCAGAAACACAAACTCCCATGAAGATGGCAAAGTACAGCGTCAAATGCTTAAAGGAATTACCCATCTTGTCAGTAAGCTGACTGAAGACACAGACCTTCCTGTGGAATGACTGGAGACACTTGGAAAATCCAAAGTCCATCTTTGCAAGGGGCATAATGTTTTACTTTGCAACTGGCACCAAACAGGTAAGTTTCTATATCTTGGCACATTAAAGAAATATATCACCTCAGTCTGTTTATGTCTTTTCCTTTCCACGGTTCAAGCATTACCTTCACTTTTTACTAAACTCCACAATTCTTTTAACTAAACCTTCCAATCCTAGCCTTCGGAGAACTTTTGGCAGCTGCCATTAATACATCACTAGTTCATTCCAAAGTGCTTATAAGTGAAAAAATCCTTATACATCTATATCTATATCCCAATTACTCACTTTTACTTTAAGAGTAATATCTCTTAAGATAAGCAATGATCAAACTTTTGTCAAATAAGTTAATTTTTGCCATCATACTTCTACACAGGCCACAAAAATAATCAGAAGAAAATACTTTATAACTTTTAAAGGTATACAGTAAAGTTTTATAAGTCTGGTTTCTATTTACAATGACCATTATGTTTCCTTATTCATTTGTGTTATTGGGATTACACTGATGATCCAAGATGATAGAAAAGTCGAGGCTGGCTTATCAGGTAGCCTACTAATAACACCTGTTACCTGGCCTCATGTAAAGGATAATGATGACCATTGACCACATGATAATTCTCTGGCATAGATACATCCTGAAATGAGTGCCAAGGAATTCAGGTTAAATGATGGTCAGGATATTTTCAGTGCTAAAAATGTTCTGAGATACGACATTTAAAGAAAACAAAAGTAAATGGATATTTCTCTACTATTTAGAACCATAGCCTAATTCTGCATAAAATATAACTCTCTCTAGCTGTAACTTCATGAATACTTCCCTAACACTGTCAGCATTTGTGAGTAATTATAATAATAAAATTTGGAAGTACCTCAAACAATGACAAAGACCTACATGTACCTGTATACCTTCAAAGTGTCAAATGCTGCTGAAGTCGGATGACTGAATGTTGGGCTTCTGTTCTTTCACAGTGTGTGAAAACACTGCTCTCATAAAAGCATGCAATGAGAGAGGACACTCAAAATGAGCTGCAGTGTGCAGAATGGAAAGCTATTAAGTGCACATTCGCTTATAAAGGACACACAAGAGAAGCTGTGGAAAGCACAGAAACACCTAGCAGCCATGAAAAATCAACTTACCTAAGAAAAACATTAGCCATGACATTAAAAATTATTAGTGATTAGAGTACACAAAGCAGAACACAACTTCCAAATAGCAAATGACTGGAGAGAACAGGTTACTTACAGGAATTCTTCTCCAAGGTGTTTGGGTATATTTATCAGCATATGAGCATTTTTCCTCTTTTGATTTTTGGTGACACTTACACCGGGTTGCCTGAACAAAATCACAAATTGTTATACTGGTTTAATTGTGTACACATAAACAAAGGTAACTGGGGGCTCTCTTAGGGAATACAAAACCAAATGAACAACACAGCTCTGGCTGTGTTGCAAGCAAAACAATATGTTCTATGAAGTTGTCTAGCATCTTATTCAGGGCTTATGTCTGAAAGTAAGTGAGTGAGGCTAGAATTTTAACTAAGAGAAAGCCCCTGGAAAGCTCCTTTAACTGTTTGTAAAACATATAGATATAGAATATATGCAGCAATATAAAGTATATAAAGAATACAACAAAATTTACATTGTTTTCCTAAATCATGATGGCATTAGAGTCATTCCCATATAGTTTCTTAAATGAATTTTTGATGGGACTCTACTGGCTATTAGATACCAACAGTTCACATAGCAGGATGTCTGTTCCCACGCACAGTGCTATATGCCCCTTTAATGATATGCACACTTTATTGGACCAGCGCGTTATGAAGGGTCTTTGCCCTGTGACAACCTCTATCATACTGAACCATTTCAATTCACAAATTCTCTAGATATGATTCTATTCAAAGTGCAAAGTTACATGAACAGAATATACCTACTATATAAACCTGTGGTTCAAAAAAGATCATGAGAATTCTCCTCAGTGTAAAGGAACACAACCATATTATTTGATAAACAATCCCACTGAAGCATACGCACTTTCTTCCAGAAATTAATTCCTTGCAAACACGCACAGGGGCCTGGGTTCGATCCCAGGCCTGCTATGCAGGCCCTGCCCCCCAGGGTGCACTGAGACATAATTGAGACTGGGCGTGGTGATACACACCTGCTATCCCAGCTCTTGGGAGACTGTAAACAGGCAGGTCACTACAAGTCTGATCTAGTAGTGAGGCCCTGAACACCCTGTAGACCCTTCCCTAAAATAAAAAAAAAAAAAAAAGTTCCTATCAGATCATTCCAACTTCCTTATATTAAATAAAATTTAATTAAGACAAAAAAAATCTGTAAGATACATGTATTCTTATTCCTAAGAAATGGGATAGTCACTGAAACAAAATTCACTACATAAGCAAGTCAACCTAAAGAGTCTCTTAAAATACACTGTAGTAGGACTTTTCTTTAAACATCCTAGAGGTATGTAACAAAAATACAAAACACGTATTATAATGTAAGCACATTACTTAGTCCATCCTGATTACAGCAATCTAAGAAGTATTCTTTCTGTGGACTATGTGCAAATATAGGAGAAATATAATAGATTCTGAATATTTCAATTTTCCATCATTTGGATAGCCTAGTTTTGACATTTCAATAGATACAAAATGCCAAAAATGATTACACAAATAATTCCCTCTCCATATGCTAGCTTTTATTGCTGTCAGATCTGCATGTGTGTTCAGATGCTCACTTTCTGTGTGGACCCTTATGGAGGGAAATGCTTCCTGTCTCTTATCCTAAAAATCCAGATCTTAGTGAGTTTAAACCAAGCTAGTTAATCTCAGGCCCCTGTATTTAGGAAGGCACATGTAACCCAAATCTAGCCATTAAAACACAAGAAAAGTCTAGAGGTATTTCTGAGGTAGTGTTCCTGGATTTTAAAAGCAGGTAAACTAGAGAAAATAAGTCCTGTACTAACCTTTTGTGTTTCTGAAAGACACAATGAACTACAGTAGACATATCATAACTAACGACAAGGCACCCAAAAGGTTTCCAGAAAAACTCTTTGAACTTTATACACAGAAAGACCAACATCAACCACAGATAAATGAACAGGACTTACACACTGTGTACTTTGTTGCTATTTGAGTACCCAAGTATTGAACCCAGGAACTTCACACAAAGC